GACGCTGTCGCTCGGGATAGTCTGGAGAAGCTAGGCTACAAGCAGGAGATGACACGGGTTTGTGCTTGTGCTTGTTCCTGTTCGATAAATATGTGATGTTCGTGGTCGTGTGCTAGTCTCGAGGACTATTACAAATATTATTCAGTGAGTAGAGCGTTCTCTTCACTGCGTCACAAAAATTGAATGCTTCCAAACAAGTGACGCTAGGTCAGTCTGTTGGCTCGAGCGAAACTGCCCATTGAACTGTTGACCCAATGATTTGGTTAGCAATCATGGCAGTCCGTATGTCTGAGCAGCGATCTTGCTCAACGCCACGACTTACCCTCTGGTAGCATTCGGTCTTACATCGCCTATAGCGACGTCGCTCATTGGAGGTGGTCCAGCAGTAATGATATGGGGGCAAATATACACTTTTCACCTTATCTAAAACACAATTTGACATATTGTAGTTGGATCTTGGTTTCAGTCCTGACCCAAACCCTCGCTCTTTCACTGGCGGAGATATGCTCCAAATATCCCACATCAGCAGGGACATACTACTGGTGTTATCGACTTGCGTCCCCCCGCACGCGACTCCTTGCCTCCTGGATCAATGGCTGGTTGACAGTCGTTGGTGGTTGGACGGTTGATTTGAGTGTCAAATTCGGTATTTGTCCCTATGCATGTCACTTCCGATTATCTATATCAGTAACACATTTTCCCAGCGACTGCTCAACTTGTTGTTGCCGGAGTCGGAATATATTATTCTGAATGGGACGCGACAGCATTGCAAACATGTAAGGATTCTTCTGTGTAGCAATATTTGCGCTTGCTGACCACTTAATTCCCCGATGTAGACATGATTTTCCTCGGCGTGACTGCTATTGTTGGCATATTCTGCATATTCATTAACAGGCTCCTACCAACCATCGATGTAGGTCCTCGCTTGTTTATTGTTGCCGAGATATCCATAACCTGCCAGATTATTTGTGCTTGCTGGACTGGTTTAGGCATCATCGGTACGTTTTACCGTGACTGTTCTTTGTCTGTTTTCCTCCTAAATTTGGATGTTTGAAGTTATTTCGATATGCTTGTTAGCCAAGGCCGCAGTAGGCCGTCGTCCCGCCTCTTTCGCGCTCGGGAACTTCGATCCCTCATTTTCAGGATGGACGCCTGGGTGGTCGTTCTTCATCGGTACATTGCCGGTACGATCGCCATTACTTATCACAACTCGTACTCAATATTACCACAATGTACCCAAACAGCCTGGTAAGATGTTAACGCTATCTATCACAGTGGGATCAGGAGCTGAATCATGTCTCAGCATATACATTCTCCAGTATAGGAATGAGTACGTCTCTAACAGCGATGTTGGCCATATTCACTCCGCTGATATTCAAAAATCAGTCACACATATGGCCGAAGAGGTTTATAACCCTTCTGAAATACTCCCGAAGGCCATCACCTGGTCTGTGCCCATTGGGTCATTGACTGGCGTATTATTCCTTCTGCCAATCCTTTTCACACTCCCAGATGTCAACACATTGCTTCAAGGTTAGTTTCATGCTGAGGTAACTCGTGCTTCTCATGTGATATGCCAACTAGTTTCCTCCGGTCAACCGATTGGTGTCATGTTTACTTTGATCATGGGCTCCAAGGCCGGTGGTTTCGGGCTGGTGAGTGTCCATCGTGGCCTTTTGTCTGGCGCGCTGCATCTCTGATTTGGCGGGGTATCCAGTGGTTCATTAGTACGTTACAACTGGTCTCCGCCACTGATTAGCCTAGCTTTCTCATACTACCTTCCAAAGTATTCGGTATCGGTATGTTTTGTTCAATGTCCACGTCGTGTGCCGGTTCTCGTGCAACTTGGGCGTTCGCACGTGACAAAGCTATTCCATTTCATCGGTGGTTCTCCAAAATCGACTCTTCCCTTGGAGATGTCCCTGTGAACGCGTATGCACTCTCCACTGTGATCCAAGTTCTCCTTGGACTCGTCTACCTCGGTTCCTCAGCTGCATTCAACGCTTTTGCAGGAGTCGCTGTCATGTGTCATGGAGCATCTTACGCGATGCCCATTGCCATCTCGCTGATGAACGCCCGGCGAGACATGCATGATGCCCCATTCAACCTTGGCAGGTTCGGTACCATCATCAATGCAGTCGCAGTGCTGTGGATCATGTTTGTCACCGTGCTATTCTCGATGCCTGCTGTCATCCCAGTAACGATGTGGTCGATGAGTGAGTGGCTTTTGGTCACGTGGGTGGGTTGAGGCACTGAATGTGTGCGGGTAGATTATGCTTCGGTAGTGTTTGGGGGGTTCGGGGTGATTAGTGCAGCGTGGTACATGATCAGTAGGTTGTTTGCTTGCTGTTTGGGAACTTCATGGGATTAATGTGGTTCAGACGGCCAGTTTTACTATAGAGGACCTCCAATCCAGGAAGATTCAACTAGCTCGTCCGGATCCTCGGACTCTGCTTTACATTGAAATAATTCTGACCGACAATCGTGGAGATACTATCATCAAACGGTGGTGGTCAAGATCAAGGTATCAGCGCCTGGTAGCTCTCGCCTTTCGGTCTCCCATGCATATGATTGTGATTATTATAGCAGTTAAACCATTGTGCAGAGTCTGTAGACATGATGTTGTACTAGACTAGATGTCGCATGGTGGTGAAAACCCCGTTTTTTCAAAGTAAAAGCCTAGTACCACTCCAAGGGTGATTTTGTGGTTGTAAGTGCATTTGATCTAATGTCAGCAATACCTTGAACTAAACCAGAGAATTTTGGCGAAGCTCCAGAAGGAAATAATCACATAGATAATTCTGTAGTGATAGAACAGATAAGATAGAAGGCAGGGAGCTAAACTGCTAAAAGACACATCCTGATCATGCATTGATGTCTGCTAGTCTCAGTAATAGATGGACCACTTGTTTCATTACAGGTGCCTGTCAGGACTTTGTGGGTATTCTTGTACAGTTGTGTAAGCATTGAGAATGGGAGAAAATGTATGTTTGATTGCAAGCAGGTAGTTTCTTTTGGGCAGAAGCCCCGCAGGGGCAACCCTGCCCTGGTAGTTACCTGACTTGTGCAAAAGTGAGCCAGGGTGAGCTGCTATTTCTACATCAGTAATATGAGTAAATGTGATGCAGCAAAGTGAACCTTAGATCCCCAAATCCTACTAGGAGCCACAAAGTGACACATCAAGGTGAGGCTAGATAAGGAAATGGTTAGTAACAAAGGTAGTAAGGAGGCATCCACATGAACATAATTGAGGATATCTGCATCAATGCAGGTATCTGGCATGTCCACAGAGGTATACAAATCTATATGTGCACAGCAGCAGGTGTTGGCAAGGAGGATATTTTGGAGCCCCTCATTTGGCACTGGCAGAAAGTGTCATGTTGACTGGGTGGATGATTCCTCCTGTCATATCCCGCGTTCCGGACCTGGACTGTTCATGCACTCATCTCTGGATGTCCAGATCCGACCAGCTTCTGTCTTCTGCTTTTTCCACATTTGTATGTCCCCTTTTAGTTAGCCCCTGTTTCCGGTCTTCCGGTTATGTCCATATCTGACTGTACTCATTTATCCGGACCCTAATCATTTCCGACTCCATTTTATTATGTTCCAATACAATATTGATAAGTGTTCCATATGCTTTGTACATAGCCTTGCACTGCACTGACTGATCTTCTGTTATGTCTCCTGTAGTATATAAACTCTGTAAAGTCTCTGTATATCCTCAGTTTGAATATCATCTTAGATTCTGCTCATTCCTGCCTCCGTCTGACTTGAGTTTCTCCTCTCGTCGTTCTCTGATAGTCTTAGGATTGATTCCTATTGACTTAACATCTCCGCCTCTACCTCTGGTAGTCCTCCGCTGTTTCTTTCTAGTTCAGACTTTGTCCGAATTAGCCTTCCCTCTTGTTTCCGGATGTCTGCTGGAATTCCTGCACATCGGACTCCGAACTTCTGGATTTTGTCCTATAGCCCTCGGAAGTTAGGGGCATGTACTCAGGTAAGGGGCGCAGCATATGGGCTGAAGCCAAGCTCTTTGGATCTGAACCCTTGAGCACATTCTTAACACCTCCCTTCATCAGGTTCTGTGGTAAGAGAGTTCACAACAGTGAACTTCCTACACGAGTAAGCTTGAGAGAGTAATGCTATAGCACCTTCAAGTGCTCTTTACTTATGATGGCTGGCTTCCCCACTGGACTTGCCTTTATTGTATGCAGATGGCACATAAGTTTGGACCTGAGCCATCAAAGCTCACTGAAGTTTATAGCAAAGAAAATATGAAAGGCAGCAGGCCACAGACAGGGCACTGGAGCTTCCTGGAGTGTACCCTGGGTGCTGTGTGGTTGAGGGAGACTCAAAAGCCACATGCTGCACAGCCACTATATGAACCCTAACCCTACACTTATACCTCACTTTGAGATAGAATTCCCAACTGTGTTGCAAGGAACCTGGAGAATCCTTTCCTACATATCGGTTCTGCCACCTCCATCCATCAGATGATCATTGTCTACTAGTACACTGTAAGGCTAAGTTTGAGTTTGAAGGGGAATACTATTGACAAAGGGAGCTGTGAAATGCTGTAGCAAAAATGAGTTTTTTTTTGAGTGAGTGCATTTGAGTCTTGCAAAGTCTGGCAGAAAACAGATGCTCATTTAATGAAGTCTTAGAAAAAGTACATGGCTATATATATATGTGAGTGGCAAAATATATGAGTGGCATCTAAGGGTGGCAAGGAAGTGGTGGGCAAGATGGGGGTGTTGTTGAAATAAGAGCATAAAGAGAGAAAGGTGAACTGGTAGCAAAATATGAACAAAGGCAGAAATATAATGGAAGGCAGTGCATACTATGTCACAAAGGTTGAAGTAAAGGTCTGAGCGAGCATCCAGGGCCAAAGCCATAGGCTTCCTTACACCTCCTCCCAACTTGAAATATCAACTGTTCCAGTTGATCATCTATCAACACTACTATTCTTTAGAAGTAACACCAGTAAGGTCTGCAGCATTCAGGAACTGAGTGACTTTGAGAGTGGAGAGGGAGTGGGCATGGTAAGGAATGAGATAGAATATGGCAAACTTCAGCTTTGAGATGGCTTTGTTGATTTTGGCAAGATGGTATGACCCATTCACAGTGTGAGAGATAACAATCATTGGCCCAAATACCTAGGCTTGCATGTTGCATTTGATGCTGGTTTGATCTTCTTATTCAGCACTAGTGTCATATTCTGTATTCTGGACCTACATCTGACAATGTTCCCATGCCTCATCTGGACCTCTGGACCCCCTGTCCATGTCATTTATCTGTCCAGATCCCTGTACCTTCGCATATCCACACATTCAGATCCGATATCCAGACACCCAATCTGATATCCGAAGCCCAAACCTTAAATCAGTGCTCATCCCCTTATGGTAATCACCTGTTTCCGGACATCCGGTTATCCCTATAACCGACTGTGCTTTATTTTCCATACCTGATTCATTTCTGTCTTCATTTTATTAAGTTCCGATGCACTAGTGTTAGGCATTCCACATGCTCCGTCCATAGCCTCACATAGCCTTGCACTGCACTGACTGATTCTCTGTTATGTCCTCTGTAGTATATAAACTCCTGTAGAAACTCCTGTATTTCCTCAGTCTGAATATTATACATATTAGTCCTCAAACTAGATCTCACACTAAGTCCTCATACTAGTTCTAGTCCTCCGACTTAGTCAATATCCATCTCAGGCCTAGGGAGGAATTCCCTAGGCTGGAGCTCCGCTCCTCCGCTCCTCCATTCCTCTGAGTTTCCAGAAGTTCCTCTGGAACTTTCCCACAGTCCTCTGGACCTATTCTGCTTCAGACTTTGTCCCTGCAGCCTTTCCTCTGTCTCCATTCTACTCTGGATACATCCTGAGTAGCCATTACACATATCTGTACCAGGACGAAACCTCATAGTAATTTCCGGAAGTTCCTCCGGAAGTTTCCCACACCCCTCCGGAAGTTTCTCACACTCATCCGTATCCAGACAGTCCATCTGGACTTTTTTAGACTTCCTCCAGATGTCATCTGAATCAAGGGCACATACTCGGGTAAGGGGCGCAGCGCACGAGCTGAAGCCAAGCCCTTCAGAATCAGTCCTACCCTTTGTGCATGGTCTTAACAACTAGGATGAGTGTGCCAGGCTTGAAGTTGTGATTGTGAATAGTGTTACGACTGGGATTAGTTGAGCTGTCTATATCTGAATGGATAAGTCTGCTAGTGATGGCTAGTGAGACAGATGGGGTTCTTCTCTCAAATGAGAGTTCAAGTGGTTCTGGCTAAGGCAAGTGGCAGTGGTGTAGAGACTGAAATCTCTATAGCCTCATAGAAGTCTAATTCTCCAATGCTCTAATCACCTTCCAAACACAGTGCAACTGTCATATCCCGTATTCCAGACCTACATCCGACAATGTTCCCACGCCTCATCCGAATGTCCAGACCCCCTATCCATATCCTTTATCTGTCCAGATCCCTGTATCTTTGCATATCCACACATCCAGATCCGAAATCCGGACACCCAATCTGATATCCACTTGTCAGGATCTCTGGATCCAACCTATGCTTCATATCTGAAGCCAAACCTTAAATCAGCGCCCATCCCCTTATGGTAATCACCTATCTCCGGTCTTCGGTTATCTCTGTTTCCAGTTTGCTTATTGATCCTTGTACAAGTTTCATCTCCAAGTTTATTTCCTTATGTTCTGTTTCACTTACTAATACATTTCCACATGCTTGTACATAGCCTTACCCCTCTACTTACTGATCTGCACAGACTTGCCTCCAGTATATAAGCTCCTGTAGAAACTCCTGTATTTTCTTAGTCTGAATATTACACATATTAGTCCTCGCACTAGATCTCACACTAAGTCCTCATACAAGTTCTAGTCCTCCAACTTAGTAAATACTCATCTTAGGCCTAGGGAGGAATTCCCTAGGCTGGAGCTCTGCTCCTCTGCTCCTCCGACCCTCCAATCCTTCATTCGTCTGAGTTTCCGGAAGTTCCTCTGGAACTTTCTCATGGTCCTCCAGACCTATTCTGCTTCGGACTTTGTCCCTGCAGCCTTTCCTCTGTTTGCTTTCTATTCAGGATTCATCCTGATTAGCCTTACACATATCCTTGTCAAGTGGACGAACCTCATACACTGCAGGCATTTTCCCATTTTCCTTCACCAAACATCCAAAAAACATGAATTGAGAAGATAGAATTTTCCTCTCATTTTGTCTGTCAAAACATTGAAAAAAAGTAATTCATGTTTCAATGATTTTCTGTGTGTGGGACATGATGCAAAAATTAATCATGTTCCTTCAAGGATAATGCTGTATTTTCCATCTATTGTTCTGTAAATAGCAGCTTACAATAATGTTAATTTTCTTCTCTGTGTTTTTCAAATATACACAGAACATTTGAAAAACACAGAGAAGAAAATTAACATTATTGTAAGCTGCTATTTACAGAACAATAGATGGAAAATACAGCATTATCCTTGAAGGAACATGATTAATTTTTGCATCATGTCCCACACACAGAAAATCATTGAAACATGAATTACTTTTTTTCAATGTTTTGACAGACAAAATGAGAGGAAAATTCTATCTTCTCAATCCATGTTTTTTGGATGTTTGGTGAAGGAAAATGGGAAAATGCCTGCAGTGATAGTAATTTCTGGAAGTTCCTCTGGAACTTTCCCACACTCCTCCAGAACTTTCTCACACTTAGCCGGATGGTCCTTCTGAAGTTTCCCATGCTCTTCTGGAAGTCCTTTGGACTTCATTGGACCTTCTCCGGACTTCAGTCTGAAATTAAGGGCACATACTCGGGTAAGGGGTGCAGTGCACAAGCTAAAGCCAAGTCCCTCAGAATCAGTCCTACCTTTTGTGCATGGTCTTAACAGCAACTCATATCTCATTCCTGTGCACTCGGCACTTCATTGGCTGCTTGCCTGCACAAGTGCTTTGGTTATGCATCAGTTCATACTTGGAATGTGCAGGTTTGAAACCTGCCAATGATAAACTTCATTTTTTATAAAACCGCACCTTGACACAAGCTCATCAGAGTTGTGTTTTAGGCAAGTCGTTGTTCTGACAGAATCAAAATCTGTTTCTATTGGAGTGCAACAGGTTTCAAACCTGTTGAGTGTCACATTTTTTCCATAAGAGCAGGCCTTGAATATTTGCTCATAGACAGTAGTCTCAGACATAGATCTTCATTAGCCTTAGTCAAGTCAAGTTATCATCAGAGTAAAAATCTGTTTCTCTTGTACTTTGCAGGTTTCAAACCTGCCAATGGTAATATTTTTATTCTATGCAATTACACCCTGACATTTCTTGATGTAAGTACAAGAATATGAAAGCTCAGCATCCAGTGAATTCACGCACTTAGGTTTGAAACCCATTGAATGTCACATTTTTCCTATCAGAACATGCCTTGAATATTTGCTCACAAAAGTATGTAAGTCGCTTCTGAATGAGTTCATTGGGAGCACATATAACTGGTCTTAGCCAAGCAGTTGATACAACAGAATCTAAATCTGTCTATGTGGGTTCAAAACCTGCTAAAAATGAAATTGCCAAGTGATTATCAGAGTCAAAATCTGTTTCTCTTGGACTGTGCAGGTTTGAAACCTGTCAATGATAAAATTTCATTTTTTTATGAAAACACACCTTGACATATGCTGATTGTCAGTTTGCTTGCAAGCTGATCAGAGTTGTATCTACCAAAGTGGTTGTCATAACAGAATCAGTTCTTGTACTCATCCTTCCAAGTTTGCATCAAGAATACTCGCATTTGCCTCTGGTAAGTTCTTCGCAAATTTTTTTTTCTGATCTGTGCATAAATCCAACAGCAATATTAATCAAGTTCAAAATCACCATCAATGGTGATCATGCTATTGAAAGAACTGACTTGAGGATTCACTTCTGAATGAATTTATTGAAAGTGCATCCAACTGGTCTCAGCCAAGCAGTTGTGCCAATGCACCTTTGTTTTATTGTGTAATATGAAGAGTGGAATATAAAGGTAGAGTGTCAGGTGATATGTGGGAAGTGGTTGCATGCTATACATCGGTACAAGGTTTGATGTTTGGGTTATACAATCAGGCAGTAGATAAATAGTGGCTCTCTACTTCATTCAGTACAATTGATCCAAACCTGTTGGGGTAGCACTTGCCATTTTTGCCTACTTGCAGCAGGATATACCTGATTGCAATGCATGATGTGTCTACCACTAGGATGAATTTATGGCCACTTTCATAGTCTATCCACTGAAGCATGGGTGAATATATGATGGAGTCCTTGAGCATTTGCATCGCTTGACACTGCTCCTTGCCAAACTCAGATGGTACATCTTTTTTGGTCAAATTAGTCAGCAGGTGCACAATGCACAAGAAGTTACAGATGAAAATGCGCAAGACACTGCATATGTGACTGATTTTTTGGCTCTGGCCAATCACAGATCTTTTGTACCTTATATTCATCAGGCATGCGCCCTTTGAAAGTGCACTTGTGGCTGACAATAGTTGCTGATGGTGCAGCTAGTACAAACTTGGTTGTAGATACTATTGCACCTATGTTTTCTAGGCACTGCAGGATGCGGTGGATGTCAATGCAGTGTTCCCATATAATGGCAGATGCCTGGATTGCCAGATATGGTCTTATAAGAGCCATCTACATTTTGGTATTGAATCTTTACCAACTTTATTGGCACATTGTCTATGAATGGCAATATGAACTTAGGTATTTTGTCTTGCAGTATAAACAAGATATTGCCTTGGTAAACCTGTATAGCGTTAGCATGTCCTCGCAGAAGTGTGGTCAAATGATGCAGCCCTAGGGGTGTCCTGAAGGTAGTCATGTCACACAAGTCTATGTGAAGCACATGCTGGTCATAACTGGCATACAAATCCAACATAGCATAAACTGGATATCCAGCAAACATTTCAGCTAGGAAGTCAGGGAAAGACAGAACTGATGTGTCACAAATTGTGACTTCATTGAGCAGCTGTAGGTCATGGACTAAGCACAATGAATGGCCATCCTTCTTGATGACACAAAACCAGCATGATGGGGGGCTTCTTGGACCTATACATTTTGGGTGGCACCAATATCTGGTGCTCCCCAGCGCTCTTTGTTGAACAAGACAAGACACTATCACTATATAAGTGATTCCAAGCATCGTCGATCTTGAGAGCCCCAGCACACTAACTCTTCTCTAGCAGAAGGCCCCCTGCCTCATGAGCCCAACACTTGCTATAACAATGTCCCTAACATTGAGGCAACCGCCACCAAAGTGCATATAGCACAAGTCCTTGAAGAAAAAGGCTCTGAGTGGCCATCACACTGCACCACAACAGTGGATGAAACAGATCAGGAACAACTCCACGTCCCTAACAACAATACTAATAAATGTCTAAAGAAAAAGAATAAGAAAAACACACAAGCCAATGTCAAAATAGCATCCCTCAATATCAGAGAAAGATGGCACCAAGGTGTTGACAAATGGTTGCATCTAAACCAAGTCGTCAGAGAACAAAAAATAGGTATAATCGCACTACAAAAAACGCACCTCTCCAAAATGGATGAGGACCCCATTAACCAACTACCTGGCTCAAGATTATTCGTTGTCTTGTCAATCGACCCTAATCAATCCAATGCCAAAGGCGCTGCTCTAGTCCTGAACAAAAACATAATGGACATGTCCCAAGTCAAATCTATAGGATTAGTACTGGGTAGAGCACTGCTGTGCACCATAGGATGGCACAAGGAACACAAACTAATGATACTAGTAATCTATGCGCCTAACAATCCATACGAGAATCAGTGATTCTGGGAGGAAATCACCCAATCCCTGAAGGACAAACCGAACCTAGATGTCATGCTCAGTGATTTTAACCTAGTTGAAGACCCTCTAGATCACCTCCCACCTAAACATGACATATTTAGTGCCACCAATGCCTTAATGTAATTAAAACTTAGCCTGGGCCTGAGAGATGGTTGGCGTCATGAGAACCCGGACTCCCTAAGGTACTCCTTTGCTCAGTCGGCCCAACAAGGAGGTCGTCAATCCCGCATAGACCACATCTATGTAAGAGAAAACTTCATCCCCTTCAGTAAAGAGTGGAAAATATCACCCTCTGACATCCCTACTGACCACCAGATGGTATCAACCAGACTATCTATCCAACATAAGATCACCATTTGTCGGCAAAGGCAGATGGGCGCTGCCACTACATGTCCTTAAGGACAAAAAGCTTGGGAGACAGCTACAGAAAGACATCATCAGTTCGAAAACTAATCGCTCTGATGAGTATAACCCACAGATAGTATTCAAAATTTTTAAAACAAAGGTGATCACACTATGCAGAGACACTGCGAAAAAGTCAGTCCTGTCGCAAATCAACAAGCTGAACACCCAGCTCAAAACATCCCTCAATGACACAACACTCCCAGAGGAAGAGCAGCAACTGATAGGCTCCTACATCCAAGAAAAAATAAACTCCCTGACAAGAATTCAGCATGAAAAAGCCAGTGATAACTTAGTGGCCAAAATAAGACTTGAGACACTGCAGGCATTTTCCCATTTTCCTCCACCAAACATCCAAAAAACATTGATTGAGAAGATAAAAAATTTCCCTCATTTTTCCTGTCAAAACATTGAAAAAAAGTAATTCATGTTTCAATGATGTTCTGTGTGTGGGACATGATGCAAAAATTGGTCATGTTCCTTCAAGAATAATGCTGTATTTTCCATGTATTGTCTTTGAAACAACAGCTTAAAATAATGTTAATTTTCTTCTCTATGTTTTTCAACATACACAGAACATTTGAAAAACATAGTATATATGAAAAACACAGAGAAGAAAATTAACATTATTTTAAGCTGTTATTTCAAAGATAATATATGGAAAATACAGCATTATTCTTGAAGGAACATGACCAATTTTTGCATCATGTCCCACACACAGAACATCATTGAAACATGAATTACTTTTTTTCAATGTTTTGACAGGAAAAATGAGGGGAAATTTCTATCTTCTCAATCAATGTTTTTTGGATGTTTGGTGGAGGAAAATGGGAAAATGCCTGCAGTGAGAGCAAGTCAGCAGCAAGCAAATTCTGGTCAAGACTGGGTAAGAACCAGAAACCTAGAGACACAATCATAGAACTGCATAAGCTTGACTCAATGAAAGAAGAGCCATTGTATGAAAAATGGTCTAACAAGATGGCCGAACTAGTGAGAGACTATTATGAATCCCTGCAACATGAAGGGCTGAATACCACCACAGGAAGACAACCAGCTATCGAAAAAATACTAGACACTATCCAGACTCAGTTATCACCAGATAACAAACAGGAACTAGAAACGAACCTCTCAAAGGATAACATCAATGAGGTGCTTAACCTCCTGTCCAATGGCAAAGCACCAGGGATGGATGGTCTCCCTTATGAATTCTGGAAGTGGGTGAACGAGAAATCTAAATCCCTGTCAGAAAAAGATCAAGAAGATGAACCGTTTAACTTAATTGAGTGCCTCACTGCAGTATTCAATGATGTGGAAGTCTATGAAATAGTTCCAAACATGTGCTTTGCGGATGGCCTGCTAAACCCTCTATATAAGAAGAACAATAAAAGGGAAATAATGAACTACCAGCCCATAACTCTCCTCAACGGAGACTATAAAATCTTGACAAAAGTGCTGGCCTTTAAACTGGCAAGAACTGTCCCCTTAATCATTCGCGAGAATCAAGCTGGCTTCATACCTGGCAGAAGCATCACAGACCAGATCTGTCTGACTCAGCTCATCATAAACCATGCTGAAGTTGAAGAGAAAAACAGTGTGATCATTGCACTCAATCAGGAAAAAGCCTATGATAAAATAGCGCATGATTACCTCTGGCAAGTTCTGGACCATTGCGGTCTACCAGAGAAATGCATAAACACAGTGTAGAGATACAACAATTGCTGGACACTACTCAAAGTAAGTGTTCAGCAATATAAAAATGTGTTGTGGTCGTGCACAGCCTAGTCTGCTATACTTGCAAGACAAGTGCGTTTGACCCAAGGGGTTAGCTATTTGGAATGGTCTGTAGTTAGTGAAACAATAAATGGTCAAAAGTCCGAGCGCGAGAAACAAAGTCCGAGGGTATATCTACAATGTCCGACGCCAAAGCATCGGGTCCAATGTTTTCAGGTTAATGGGTTTCAGGTTCAGGTTTAGTGGGTTAGCGGGAATGGCGATAGCAAACGTCAGGAAAGCGAGCGGTATGTGGATAATATGATAACAACGGGTATTTCGGATAGAAAGAGTGGTAATATTTACAATGTCAACTAAGAACTACGAAATATTGGGTTTGACCACTAAGTATCAGGAAACGGCTCCCTACTACTTGGATAATGAAAATACTCGTAGACAGTCCAATATATATATAAGTACGTAGAAATCCGGAACCCTATAGGCAAAAGTAGCAGCCGACGATTTTGGGTCCGAAGTACATGTAAACTAACACGAGGTGCTGCGGATGATGGGAAAACATGTAATAGTGCTTGCTACGACGTGAGTAATGTGTGAAATAATCAACTACGCACCTAGTGGGGCTAGCAAGACAGGATGGGACATGGATAGGACAAGTGCACGGGAAAATATCGGGTCCGATGTGGCCGAAACATCAGGTCTGCTGGTCAAAGTGTTGGGTTTGTGTAGGGTTGTGCGGGTTACATCGGAAAGTGACGGGCATTGAACGTGTATCGGGAAATCAGTAAATATGAGCCTAGCGTGAGCTCAAGTGCTACAATGGTTAAATCCCTATATAAAGACGCCGAAACAGTGGTAATGATCAACAGTGAAATTAGGACGAAGTTCAAAGTATCCAGAGGGGTCAGACAAGGTGACCCACTATCCTGTCTACTCTTTGACCTGGAAATAGAGCCCCTAGCTAAACAACTCAGACAATCTGACCTAACAGGATTTAAAACAAAAGAAATGGCTTACCGCATTGTAGTCACAATGTTCACAGACGACATGACGGTATACCTAACCAACAAAGACAACTTTGGCACCCTCATAGACATCCTAGCCAGATGGTGCAAAGTGTCCGGCGCCAAATTCAACACATCTAAAACAGAAATAATCCCTATAGGAACAAAAAACTTACTGAAAGTGAGTTCTAGAGACAAGATGTCTAAACGATTCCTCCCAACCACTGTCAGAAAGTATCAACATTGCAAAAGACAGGAAAGCAACCCGCATCCTTGGCGCATGGATAGGAAACAGTATAAATGAACAGGCCATTTGGTCCCCAATCATAGAAAAGATTGAAAACTCCCTAGAGCGATGGGAGAAATGGTGCCCTACAATAGAAGGAAGAAAAATTAACATACAGTGCAAAATAGGTAGCATAACACAATACCCAACAACAGCCCAAGGCATGCCTAAAGAAGTTGAACAATCCCTAACAAAATGAACTCATGAGTTCATATGGGACAGTAAAGGGAAAAACTCCATAAGTCTAGAAACCCTCTCAGCCCCAGTCAATGAAGGTAGCAAAAACCTCCTACACCTCCAACACAGAAATGAGGCCATTGAGTTGAAATGGTTAAAAAGGCTCCTGACCCCACTAGAGAAGTGCCCAACTTGAACCTTTTTTGCTCAAGCACTCCTCACAAGATATGCTCAACAATCTCCAGTAGTCAAAAAAGGCCAGGGTCAACCCCTTCCTACAGACGTGGTCTCCCACTATGAAAAAACTACTGCTGAACCTTAGTAGGATCCTCAAAACTGCAAGAAACATAACCTACATTGTGTTACACTGACCGTCGGTCAGCGTGTGCGAACTAGGATAGGTCTTCTCAGCAATGGCTCGAGTGAGCCTACTGAAGCTGAGGGTGGTTCTCGGCTTGACGGAACATCAAGGGTTCCTCCGGTGATCTCGGTAAGACGGCGCTCGTCGAGATACAGGGCTAGCGGATACGTGCTAAGTCATATGGGAGCGACTTAGAAGTGCGGTCTCACACAAGGAAGCTGGTAAGCTTAGTTGAGCAAGTTCTGGGGATGAACCTAGTAGATTAAAGTAAAGTCTAAGTACAATAATCTGTCTACTTATATGTGCTACATATATGTATTCTAGCTCAGTCTGTAATCTATAGTATATCTAGGATCTAAGATAACAAGACATGAGGTTCAGATAAGGTACATGAGGCTTAACCTCTGATCAAGCATGCTGCCCCAAGGGCAGCTGCGCATAGGTACAGGAAGTGCCAAGAGCGCTCCGGATCTTCATGAAGCGACATGCGGTATGCATGCGCTGATCTAGGGTGACCATGAGGCGCACAGCCTCCATGGATCAGGTACAAGGCCATCTAGGCCAGGGGCGGGTCATAGCGCCAGGGGCGGCATCACAGCGGTCCAGACCACTGTCTTTCTAGGCGCGGGGAGTCTAGCAGAGCGGGGGCAGGCGTAGGCAGAGCTGGGGCTCCTGTAGGTGTTATGGATGCCTGTAACACATTGGGAAATACTGGCAGGGTCTCCACAAGTAACAAATCAACTCCCCATGTGGTTCCATATAGGCGCCTTGGAAGAACTGAATAGACTGAATAACTGCTACTATGCAGTGTGCCTAAGAGAAAATCATAACATCACATCAATACAACACATATCAGAATTAGCTAACAGAAATGACCCTACACATAGGAAATGCAAAGAGTGCACATGCAACTCTTGTTCTAATAACAGAGATAATCTGGGCCACAAAGTCGTCCTCTTCAATCCGAAAATCTATACTCCATCATCAGTCGAGGATGGCTTCAGAGTGTTCACATCCCCTGAAACCCAGAGTAACACCCCTGCAAGACAAGACACCCCACTGATAATTGGGACATACCCCAGCATAGAATGTAACATAGCTGGTACTCACTGAGTCAATAAACATGGAGACATCGAAGCTGGAGGCAGCATCTGGCTCAGCCAGAACGATGATCAAAACACTGCAATCAAAATGCCGGAATCCCTAGCATCCCCTAGTGCTGGAGAAATAAGTGCCTTCCTGCAGATAGCGACCACGGTCCCAAGCCATGTTCCCCTAGACATAAAGCTAGAAACTAATGAAATCATTAAAGACTTAACCTCTAACCTGCGCAAAAACGAATCACTCAATTGGACGAATCACCCTCATGCACCAATGATGAAAGCCCTCATGGCTCGCCTGAGACTAAAAAGTGCTAAAACAACTATGCAAAATGAGAAACCACCACTATCGAAAGACGCGAAAAACTTAGCCAAGGAAGGAATGAACAAAAACAAGTCAGATGTTATTGACACATCAATAACAAGGCCAATGCACCTGAGCGGAATAAGCCTACAGGAAGGTACACAGAACGTATTTTATAAATGTATCAGAATATTGGCAGAACAGTGAATAAAAAGACATCTCACCAAGATGAACCTAGCACGAATGCAACACGCTATCTCCAAGATCAACTCAGAAACTCCAAGAGAGCAACAGGTGTGGAAATCCATCAGAGACAATGATATCCCAAAAAACATCCAAGGATCTCTATGGAAAACTTTACACAGCACCTATAAAATCGGAGAATATTGAGATAAGATACCGAACTTCGAACAGCAGGGAATATGCAGACTTTGTGGGGAAACCAAAACAATGGAACACATCGTGCTCAAATGCACTAAATCTACCACAATAAAATCAGTATGAAAAGCAACGAAATCCCTCTGGCTCAAGAGAGACACCGAAAAAACAGGCTACTCATGATTATGTTATCTGAATCAGCTCACCTGCTATGGAAAATCAGATGTGAATGAGTCATCAAATTTGATGGTGACAAAGACAAATTCCACTCGAACACAGAAATCTATAACAGATGGATTCACGCGATGAATTCGAGACTTAAATTTGATAGGCTCCTTACCGACTCCAAGAGGTACGGTAGAAAGGCAATTCAAACTGATAAGGTTCTCAAAACCTGGAGTGGTCTCCTTCTAAATGAAGACAACCTTCCAGACAACTGGGTCCAACAATCAGGGGTTTTAGTGAGTATGGTGCCTTGCTGCCCTCCAGGACAGAAGAAATAATTCCAAGGTACTGAGTCTCACACTGCTACAAAGTGTACATAAAGTATTTCCTCTGGGTGACTATTATAATCCATTCTCATGGGTGCAAACCCTGTGACCTAAACATATCCCTTTGGGCTGACCTTGTCAGTTGCTACTGTTACGCTGACCGTCGGTCGGCGTGTGCGAACTTGGATAGGTCTTCTTAGCGACGGCTCGAGTGAGCCTATGAAGCTAAGGGTGGTTCTCAGCTTGACGGAATGTCAAGGGTTCCTCCGGTTATCTCGGTAAGACGGCGCTTGTCGAGATACTGGGCTAGCAGATACGGCTAAGATGCGGGGAGCAACTTAGAAGTGCGGTCTAGACAACTAAGTTGGAGAACTTAGTTGAACAGGTTTCAGGGATGAACCAAGTAGATTAAAGTAAAGATCTCAGTACAATAATCCGTCTACTTATATGTGCTACATGTAAGTGTTCAAGCTCAGTCTGTAATCTATAGTATATCTAGGATCTATGATAACAAGACATGA